CATGCAGGGGGTCACTTTTTAGCAAAGGTCAGTAGATTTTTCCTTTAAAGATTTGTATCACCAGTGGGGTTGGAATCCTAGAAAAACTGCTCACTTTGTCATTGAATAAAAAGTTCCATCTAATTTTTCTGGGGAGCATGCCCCTGGACCACCTATATAATGAACCCTTGTGCCTACGGCACTCGCTGGTCACTCAGACAATGGGAAGAACCCCCCCCCCCATTCAAAATGCTGGCTACATGCATGATACATGATCTTCTTCATGATAATGACAGTATTATACAGAATGATCGACAGATGCAAAAATATTGCACTCTTTGATATTTATAAATGCCTCTCATAACTAATGATTTGTTACCTGCTGCTTGGAGATTGTCACTGTCCTCAGTCTGTGTAGCTGATAGGATGTGTAGCTCCTGTTGTTTCCCAGAAGACCTTGTCAGGTTTGTACCATCCAGATGAAGTACATCCAGCACACTGGTAGTGGTGTGGGTGTGTGGCTGGTAGAGGGGGTACTCTTGGGGTAGTCTTGGTTTCGGCCGATCTTCAAACATCAAGTACAAAAAAATTATTATTTCACACATTTTACATTGATTAAAATGTTAATTAAAACAAAAGCACAGAGACTACCTTAGAATATTATATCCTCAACAAATAATCTGCTTAATTTTGCTTTTATAAATTCATCTATAAATGCTTAAAGACTATCAAAAAGATACAATTAAATGGCTGTGACGGGTGACATTACATGACATTATGTACTAAGCACGCTATTAGAACGGAAACCGAATGCGACCTCAGGTCGCAGGTCAGAAGTCATTTCCGTGCAGTCAATTAACTGATTTGGTTCTGCGCCCCAAATACTGACTATTAAAGGTAAATGACATGAAATGACATGCAATATTGTATGTCCTGATGTATAGTGTTATACATGTATGTGTAATGTCTCCCTGCATGTTCGGTCAGTTATGGCCGATGTGACCTGGGATCAATGTTTCTTTCTTTTGTTTGTGAATAAAGAATGATTTTACTACATTTTTTATTACATTTTTACTAAAAATTGAAGTGTTTGTTATGAAGTTACCTTCTGCAGAAGATGTGGTGAGTAGGTAGACCAGTGCCTTCCTGAAGTCCTTAATGTTGATGTTTGTCTTCACAGAGATTCTCTCAGCACAGAGTTGCTGTAAGGTTTCCTCACTTACCAAACTACTGTGAAGCATGTTGTTTAGTTTTCCACTTCTGTACATGAACCAGAGGTCCCCTAACCCCGACATGTCTGCACATTTTAGGTAGAAGATTAAGCTACCTTCCTGTACATAGATAACTTTGGTATCTTTAAATCTCTCGAGTTTCTCAATAGCTTTCATTACTGTCTTGAGATCTGTGATATTCTTTGTCCTGGCCTTAATCTGTCTCAATAGACTATTAGGAAGTGTCTCATCTCCACTTTCTGTGACAGTAGAAAGAGTATCTAATGCAGATGCAAAATCCAGCATGTCCTCTGGGGTCTTAACACTTGGTAGTACTTGTGCAACAATGTCCACCACAACAGGAAGTAGGGGAGGTCCTCCTGGAACCAGGGAATGGACATTTTATATATATACTAACTTAAAGTTTTAACTCAGTATTGATTTTAGTTACAAAATTTTACTTTTGACACTGATGTTTTCTGTCAAGCATTGTATTTTACATGCATTGTATGAATATATATTACTAATGTCTGACAGTAATATATTTAAAAATTCTGAAGTGCACTGTAATCGTGACATTTAATCCAGAATCTGATAGGTATACATGTAATTCCCCTAGCTGTTTTGTTGCATTTTATCGAAATTTCTTTGTACTTAAACTAGTTTGATGAAAATATCAGGTACTGAATATTTTAATTGTAAGAATACTGTATTACTTAACACTTCACAACATATTCTCAAAGTTTCCCAATCTCACCATGTGTCAGACTAGTTTGTGGTAATGGCAACATGATATTGCACACTGCATTAGTTGTTTCTATCATAAGGACTCAGGTAATATTTAGTCATTTTTTTACATTACAATCAACATTATCAGAACCTTTTAAACATACCAACAAATTGAGGTGATACTTGATACAAAAGTCCAGCTCCTTGGCCAGGTGTTTCTGTCAATGCCGTTTCAGTCTCAGACTGGTCTGTCGATTCAGCCATATTGTCATCATTTAAAGAACTTTCTGCCTCTTTAGATGACCCACCTAGTTGAAGATCTATTGTTAGAAAAGCAACATCATGTGCGATGACAAAGCTGGAAGGTTCTAAGCTGGAAGGTTCTTGATGTAGATAGGACAGAAGGATGTCATCATGCACCCAGACTCCAGAAAATACAATGAAGCAGTCATTTAATGAAGCTCAACAAGATCAACTGAAAATCATGTTGATTGTTACCTCCATGAAAAATGGAGGTATTGTTTTTGGCGCGTCTGTGTGTGTGTCTGTGTTTCCGCACAATAACTTCAGAATGCCTATATGGATTGTGATGATATTTGGTACCTTGGTAGGTCTTAGGAAGACAAAGGTCAAGGTCAAATATGGGCCTCCTGGTAGCCGACCTTGGTACTGCAGCAGAACTTCCGGTGTTTTTAATCTTTTGTCCTGAACATTTTATGGTCTTGATTTTTTTGTGACAGATACTAGTAGCTTATCCTGTCAGGAATAAGCGGTGTAAGTTTGGTCCCCCTAGCAGCTTGTTCTGGAACTGCAGGGGACCTTCGGGCGAAATCTTTAAAAGCCAATAAGTCCAGTTAGGAACAACATATTTTCATTATTTTTGGTGTCTAGGTAGCTGAGAGAGAGTTGTACATAATTAAGTGCAAATTATGCAAATGAGGGCTTAATTTGCATAATTAATGAGAAAATTCTATAATTACAGTGTTTTATATAATAGTACTTTCATACGTGTAATGTATGTAATTTATGGCAGCTGGAACATCAAAAGATACCAATTATGCAAATGATGACCTAATTTGCATAATTAATGGGAAAATTCTGTGACTTCTGATTGGTGAATTATACCTTGTGACATGTGTAAGTTACTTAAAGGTTAACATCACTATGCCTATATTATGTTAATGTAGAGGTCATTTGCATAATTAATGAGGACGTGTTGAAATAAAGTATGACAAAGGAGAGGAACTTTACACTCTCAGAATTCTTGTTTTTGTTGTTTTGGAACAAAGCTTAAATTCTACTGTACAACAACAGTTACTACCCCGGTATGGATTATACCAACATGGATGAGGTTTCATTCGAAGCTCTTCTACTAGCTAACTCATGACTAATATGCTATTTGTCTTCTCTATCACTAGGAAAGCTTAAGTTACAAACCCTGTATGGAAGAACATTTTCTTAAGTGCAAATTACATGGTCAATAAATTGGTAGTCTAGATAGTGACATAGCCCATTTGTCTTAATTTACAATTTAATGATTTTTGTCTTCAACACAGAAAAAGGCAAGTCCCTCACATGTATCTGTACTTCCTGATACAGTGGTCTTTTGGATCAGCTACAAACAGATGTCCATCCTCTGTCACAGCCACTCCATGGGGTTTGCTCAGTTTGTCCCCCTCACTGCTAATGGTGGACACCCAGGTGCCGTCTGGGCGGAACACCTGAAGCTTCTTGCCATATTGTACACCACCTACATTAGATTCCATTCCAATGTTTCCCAGAACTATGTTCCCCCTGCTGTCAGCTGATACCCCTGTAGGGTCCCACATGTCCTGTGGCTGTCTACCTTTCTGACCAAACTTGTGTTGGAAGTTAAAATTCTTGTCAAACACTTGAACACGGCTGTTGTCTTTTTCTGCTACAATGATGTTGTCTTCTTCATCCACACAGATGAAACAGGGCAAGTCAAACTGTCCCTCCCCCTTCCCCTGCCCTCCCATCTGTTTCACTAGTGTCCCATCTGCCTCAAACAGGAAAATGCTGTGTTTACCTCGATCGGCTACAAGAACCCTCCCGTCCTTCTGTACTGCCAGGCCGAAAGGGTTTGTGCAATTTTCACATAAAGGAAATTTGTGCAGCAGTTTTCCCGATGGGGAAAATGCCATCACTTCTTTCCCAGATCTCACCACTATGGTGCCATCAGTATGAACTGCAACTGATACAGTGTTTGCAGTTGTATGAAATGAGAAGTCTAAGTTCCCACTCAGGTCGAACACCTGAACACGCTGGTTCCAAGCATCAGCCACATATAGCCTGTCCCCACTGACTGCTACATCTGTAGGTCTGTTAAACTGCCCCTCCTGGCTTCCCTCTTGACCAAACCTCAGCACAGGGTTGTTACTGTGCACATCTACAATGAGAGGGGAACACAAACTCACCCCACCCCCTGTAGCACGAGCCCCTCCTCTTGTAGTCACCCCCACCTCATGCTTCCCTGATGTTTGTGGTCTCCAGACTGCTTCAAACACCCCCTCACTCGTTTCTGTAGTGTCTAATCTAGCACACTGCCCCACAGGGGAGGTGACTGTGACTTGTGGAGTTCCCTGAAAATGGCCTTCCTGTGGTGTAAAGATGACTGTAGTTGGCAGGCTTTCTACAGGGAGAATTGTGACTAGAATACTTGTATTGCACACTGAAAGAGACCCTAAATTGCATGTGAACATCTCTGTCTTAGGCTGAAATGATATCTGCTCTTTCAATCCTCCATGTGAGATCTGCTTTGCACTTAAAACCTTAAGCCTATTTTCTAGCTGCTGTCCAAGTGTGAGGATTTCTACATCATTATCTCGAGCAAGAACATCTCTGCAGAACTTTAGTTCATCTTCTGTGGATTTGTAGGTCTCCTCCAAGACTTTAATCTCTGCAAAGAGCGGTTCCTTTTGGGTCTTTTCCATCTTCTCTAGCCTGTCTGTAAGTTCTTGCATTGCATTTTCTAGTTTTGCTTTCAGCTGTGCAAAATGTTGCAACATTTCTTTTTTTACTGTTTGACAGTTTGTTGTGATGCTTGTGAGTTCTTCATCAACAGTTGCTTTAGTTTTTGTCAAAGTGTCAGCTGTATCCTGGGTTTGCCTCACTAACATCTGCAGTTCAGCCTTGAACTTCTGTGTGACATCACTGAGGTCCTGTGGGTTGTGGTTCAGTCCTGGGCGGTGCTCGGTAATGGTGCAGTCTCGGCAGACGAGCTCGGCACAGGGTTGGCAGTAGAACGTCAGGCGCTGGTCAATGTGTTTGGGACAGAACTCTCTCCAGGTATACAGTACACATGTGTCAGACTGATGTACTGGAAATTTCAAAAATTATCCCCAGTTCATTTTGGGTCTCGAGTTGATTTTGCACACCCACAATGACGCAACCATCTCTTTCAGAAAATAATTCTGAAGCCCCCAAAAATGTGTATGGTAATAAAGGATATCCTTCTCACTACAAGAACAACAGAATTTAATTTTCTTTAACTTTTCAAATGTTATTGTTACTACATTTTAGGAGAAAAAAGGATTTTCTGATGAAAATGAATGAAATTGGGCATTTTCACTGGAATTAAACCCATAAGCTATAAGTATAATTTAGACACCAAAATAACTGATATTGTTGGAAAGAACAATGTATTATCAGGAAAGTTATAAAGAAAATTCCAATGCATGAAAGGTGCAAAGGATGCATAACTTTTAATGCAGAGGAATATCCACTAATACATAAGGCTTTGGTCCAAAATCAATTTTCTCCCAAAATACACATCTAGTATACACTCTTCAGCCAAGTTAGTAGTTGCCATTTCATAAAAAGATGTGAACTCAAACCTGAAACCCTTAACCTTTTTGTCACTTTTTTTATTGCCTACTAGTAGTACTACCATGCACAGAAAAAGTACTGGTGTGTGCCCACCAAACCGTCCTGAAGAATACGTTGCTCATACCTGATTCCAATGGTTTCTTGTCTGGAATGAATTGTTCCACATGTACTGGTGCACTTTGTGTCTGGACTTCAACTTCAGATGTTTGCTGTGCTTTGTCACCTAAATGACAAAAATGTACATGTAGTCTGTGAAAGATCTCGTACCTTCTTTGTTATTTAGCCATAACCTACTGAAATACCTTGACCTTGTTTTCAGGACAAACCACTAGTCGGACATACCAAAACTGAAAGTGCCTCTGCAGTACCTTAGCAGCTAGAAAGCCCATTATCAAAAGTAACCTTGAATTACCCACCCCAACTAATGATCAGCAAATGTAAAATAACAGATAAAAACAATTTCTATCAACTGTTTTTATCCAGGATATGCAAGCAGTAGTGACTCACCCTGTAAACAGCTGTCAGTGAGTTGCTGATGAGACTCTTCCCAGTACTTTGAAGACAGAAGCTTGTCCCTACATCTTGCTGCTCTTTCAAACTCAGCTTCACAGTGACTCAGTACTTGTTCGATGCACCTGGCCCATTGCTTTACATTGCCCTCCTCATTTCCTTCCATTGGCACAGTGGAATGGTAAAACTCTGTCGATATCTTATTCATGAAGTCTGCCAGTCCAGATTTATCTGACACGAGGACAGGAATTCCTGCGGCGATGGCGTCCAGTCCAACAAGATCAAACGGTTCAGCTTCGGACGGTATCACCACAAGGTGGGCCTTCAACATGTCATTGTGAAGTTCCTTCAGTGTTCCATAGGGAAGAAGGGTGGGCTTCAAATTTGTAGTCCTGAAATGTGTCTGGAGAATGTCCTTATGACTTGCCGAACAGCCTTCTTCAATGATTCCCCTCATACGACACTCCATGTTCCGTTTTACAGCAGCAATGTCTGTGGCTTTAGCAACAAGGTCATGCCCCTTCAGATTGTCAACACTCTTCACCCTACCAATGGACAGAACCACCATTGTCTTTGTGTCTTTGTAGCTTGCTTTTGTGTGCTCAAAGATCTTGGATGGTCTTGGAAGAAATTCAAAATGCTTAGGTTGTTTGTCAACAGGCGTAGCTCTGAACTGGTTCTCAAAGTGGTCAAATGTCATATTTCCAACAGAGAAGACCACATCAGCTTCTTGTGCATTTTGAAAGGCAGAGTTATTTCCCTGTGTATCATCTGATATGTCGTTATGAATGAGGATGACTTTTGCTTCTGGGCAGCGATCCTCTTTTATGTTGAGTGCTGCTCTACTTGTGACATCAGCATGCCCCACAATGCTCTTGACCTTTGAAGGAAGATGTGGGTATTTGGAGCGATGATCAAATGTCAGCCAGTCTGGTGACGGGTCAGTCCTTGGGTCACCTGGCTCAAGTTTAGGCAGTAACAGTTCCACTCCATCTTGTTGTGCATCCTGTTTGTCGTCTTGTGTTGCTTGTAAAACAGTACTGAAGACAGGTATGTCTGGTTCACGTTCCCTGATTGTTTCTACCGCCTGTCGGTTTAAGAATGAGCTTCCAACTTTATCTGCGCCATACTCAGTATGGACCAGCAAGACTGCAGACTGATCTGTGGGGAAAATGGGTATAACTTATGAATCTAGGAACAATTATCATAATCTTTTTAGACAAGTCTTTTTTAAAAAAAGACAATAACTGTCATTATCATATTGCCAGAAGACATCAACTAATCAGAAATCCTCATTTCTAATTAGCAATAACCTCATCAGTGGTGAATAATGATCTCACAAGAGGTGAGGTTAAATTCGTTAACACCCCAGCCAATACGGTTGACTGATTTACAGTACATGACCCTGGTTTGTGTTCGACATATCAAGCAATGGACAATGCAGTAATGGAATATTACTTTCCGAAACAAATTTTGACTCTGTTTTTTTTTGTCTTTCACTAGGACCTGTAGGAGACAACAAGGACCAACATGAATGGGAAGATGCAAACCTGACCAATGCTACCGCAGTAATGCTGACCAAGTTTGTTCATGCCAAGCCTACAATTTGTAAACATGCAGGCCTTATAATTATAATATACTGCGGAGGTTTGCTACATTGTTAAGTTAATTAGTTTGCTAACTTTGCTAAGTTAGAATAGGCTATATGGCAATTAAGGGTTAATGACCTGCTTGATCCTCAGTGTACATGTTGTATTTGGTGTGATAAAGCCTTGTTAGTTGCTCTCATCACCAAAAAAAAACACCGAGTGAGCATACCGAATGAGGTAGTTTTATGAGGTGGTTATAGCAACTGACAAGCCTTTCACACACCATATACACCGAGGATCAGGCGGGTCATTAACCTTATTATCATATAGCACTTACAAAATTACACAGTAAAGAGTGACACATTCCTGTATAACAAACCATTACAGTCATTCCCCTATTTTCCCATCCACTAGCCAATGTTCCTGTGCATTTTTCATATTGAGTCTAAATTAGCCTCAGGCATCTGTAAAATAGTTTCATCAGGTTGGTAAGTCACTGAGTAAAGAGACTCGTTTTACACAACCAAGTCTTTTATTAGGCCAATGTAAATATTGTACGTTTGGGAATGCATCTATAGCAGCGACACCTGTGCTGCAGTGTAGTGTGAACCAGTCAGAATTGCCCTGAGGAAGGTGACAGAATTGGTCACCGAAACGTCGGCCAAATAAAAGATTTGGTTGTGTCTGTCAGTTCTTCAAGGAAAATTGTGACACTGTGTTGTCCAATGTATGCCCTTGACTGTGATCTTTTTACCTGTTCAAATTCTACCAGGGTTCATATTAGTTCATGACCGAAACATTGGAATAGAACATGAATTCCATTTGGGTTTACCAGTCTTCCATCTCAGATCATTTGGATGTTTCATGAAATAATTTACTAATTTTGGGGGTGGTGCAAAATATGTTTTCTTTTCTTCTGCTCAAAATTCACATGTATTGACATGGTCTTCATTTTGTTATGAATTATTTTAAGAATTAGTTGATGCCAAGACTGCAAACATTACTATTCAACAAGGAAACATGCTTTAAATGTTAGCAAAAAGAGTAGTCTCCCTCTGCATAATGGTTTACTCCCATAATGGTCAAGTGGTCTTTACATGTATCTTGTAACAAAGAACCACTTATGAAATAAAGACCTCCTGAGATGATACTTGTAACATGCTATGACACTATGGCGTCATAACCGATAAGAAACGGGGCTTCTGATTAGTCAATGCCACCTGGCTATATGATAATTAAGGGATAATGACCCGCCCCTTGGTGTATATGGTATGATAAGGCCTTGTCAGTTGCTATTAATAAATAATAGTAACGTTATTATCATTGGCAGTCCAGTCTTGGAAGACTGTTATCATGGGTTTATGAGGTTTTTATATCAACTGACAAGACTGCCAGTTATCACACCATATACAGGAGCAGGTGGGTCATCAAACATCATATACATGTAGCATGTAACTATTTTAGATGTAAAATAAATGTAACGTTATCATATGCAATATTGTATGTCCTTGTGATCATTTTATGTGTTCTATTTGGGGTCATAACAATCATACAAGGTATTGCAGTTTATTTTGCTCTCACTAAAACAACATGGCTGTTGTTTATGGAGTTCAGTGGTACTGCCCACTCAGTGTTGTTGTGTTTGTTATCTCAAAACTTTATATTACTTCTGGTGTAAACAGGTGCCTCTGAGGCCTATACTGGGGACAATCTACTTCTGAGGACAAACAGATATTCACTATACATTCGTGTACAATAACAGTCATTGTGCAAAAAAGAAGTCCTGACTCATAAAGACTGACTCAAATCATACTATTAGGCTTGTCCCTGAGGCGTTGCCAAAAAGCCTCAGAGTCTGACAGTCAATGGCGTATTAAAGAATCTTTCAATCTTTACTCATACTATTTCATAGAAAGAATGACTACTTTTTTGCTAAGCAGTACTAAAATGTATAAAGTTAACATGTGTACTGGCCATTTCATACGAGATTGAGAATTTCACATTGCTCATATGTGAAATTCATACGAATAAATTGCTTAGTTTTAAACTCAGATGAATAGCCTTAAGACAATTAACTTTTGTCATAATTCAAAACTCTGTATGCTAAGACTACGAGTGCTGACTTACCCATGTTTGTCCCAGTCCTTTGTAGGTTTTCCATGTTGCCTCAATTCTGGTGAGAGAAAAAAAAGATCCATGCATAGGTAAGACGACAAACGCGGAAGTATCATGATACGGTCAGGACTTGAACGTTTTCCATGAATATTGTAAAGTCTAGGTTGAGTTTGGTCGACGAAATACGAAGAGACAAATCTTCAGATGGTCGTGAAGACGATTTGAGGACAAAAGTGTAACAGGTGCTTCGAAATGTCAAAGTTTTCTGGGACTTCTGCAGTTGTTATTGTTAATTACATGTACCCGGAAACGAGGCACACCCACTCTTAAAGCTGTGCTGAAAGTTTACAATAAAGTTTAGCTTTGCAATTTTTAGAGAAACTCTTGTTGTGGGTAGCGCCACAAGAACGTACTCTTTAATGTTGTCATGGTCAAGAACCCGACATACCTGTGTTAAACTCGAAAAAGGTACCTTTTCATGGTATCGGCTATGATGACCGGGATCGCTGTCGACGACCGCTGTCCCGTGACGTGTTGAACTCGTCCCCAGGGTACATGTCCCCTACGCTTGGGAACGACAGTCACGTGATGGCCAACTGCGCAACCCTGAAGTTTGTCGGTCGTACAAAATGTATACTATGTAGCTGGACACAAGTTACCAACTAATGAAATCTTCCCTTCATACAAAGTTTTCGAGGAAAAAATGACAAAGGTCTCAATGAGTCAACTTTGAACATTGAAGTTCGCGGTGAAATACATGAAAGCTTTCCGGTAAAATGTTTTTTTTTTTTTTTCATTCATCGATGTTTGTCAAATTTTGGCGGGAAAGCCAACATATACTGGGGGTATATATCACGACGGTCTGTCACTACGGCATTCTTTCCCATTGCTAGGCGCGTTCGAAAACGTATCGGGTTACAAGACGCAAGTTTGGCCTGTTTTGGACTACCCGTAAAACACTTGAAAATAAACAAAAAGGATTATCGATTAAATGGTAAATTTCGTCTTAACACCCTTTTAATATTAGCTGTTAATGTTAAATCATTGATTTTTTTTTTTAAATTTCGACCCGAAAGACGACTATTTTCGGGTTTCCGACCACAAGTCATGTCATGTTTTAGGCAAACATCGTTTAAACCAAAAGAAATTTTCACCCCAAAATCACCATTTCTTCAGCTATGTTAATGTTTAATGATATTTCGTGGCAGTTTATGAGAAATGTCACCACGGACTACCACGGAACTGGGGTGTGCACCGTTAATATGCATTTGCTTTGCAAATGTTGCTCTTCTAGTTATACTTTTTCCTAGCCTATAACTTAACTATCCAACATTGTCGTTAGTATTGAAATGCCATCCAACGTAATATCAACCATAATGGTCAATAAATGATCGTGTAGAAATACAAATAAAAGTGAAATGGATTTTGCGTATATTTGCGTATTATGTAACTTTCAAAATTTGTCAATATGACTTTCTATCAGGAAAGGTTAAAATACACCAATGGGATAACAAATTTGTGAAAACTTAATTGAATTCTAGAAAGAAATGTCAGATCTTGTTACAGCATGTGTGCTCTACTCTTTTCTAAAGCCATGTCATACCTCACTACATTGTAAGCAGCCAGGATACAATTAATTTTGTTTTACATCTGTTCTTGTTGACCGTAAACTCTTTGGTCGACCCTCTACAAATGGACTGGTCTGGCGACCTTTGACATCTCTCATAGCGCGAAGATGGTACAACAACAACAACATGTACACATGGCGCGAAGAGGGAAGTTTCAAACCAGTATAATTTGAACCAGCGTTCTCCTCCTTCTGACTGTCACTGTTTTATAGTCTGCATGTCAGGGGACTGTACTATGTCTTCTGATTTGCTGAAAAGGCCTTTGAAGATCTGTGAGTGTTTCTGTTTTGTTTTTGTAATGTAAATTGATAACCTAATTTTGGAGGGTCACAGTACTGCATGCATGGAGAGTATGCTATGGGATTGGTGGAGGTAATGGTCAGACTTGAGTTATAGTAATGTTGCACAACATTTTCACCACAAATCTACAGACTATAAGGGAAGCTGAAGGAATTCCTTTTTTTTTATTTCCCGATTTTAAAGTCAATATTAATCTAGATTATCAAATCTTCCTGGATCCCCAAGTCAGGTCACCTGGGGTCAACAGATTTCCATGCCTGCTTACCCACATAATGCACAGTTATGCTGTGCTCATCATATCTCCAAAATTGAGTGTTACTTTAATATATGTCATCATTTGACTTGTAGACTGGAGTTTCTGTTTTATAATCAATTCTGCAAACATGTAGTACAGTGTCTTAATCTTGAGAATACTGTTTACATTCCTTTTCTCTTTAACAGTATTGTTAAGGTCTATCCTGATGTGTTATTTACTGCAAAGGTGAGGTAGTAATGTTATATGTTCAACATCATATTGTGTCCCAGATACCACAGTGGTACAGATTTAGCATCTATAGATGTAACTTACAAAAGTAAAATGCTGTCTCTGGTGACTTGTGCTGTAAATTTACTGCAAAACTAAAGCAGCTGCCATTTTTGAAATACTAGTAAATAGGAGTTTTGTCCTGTATATTGTCATTAACGTTAAACAAGTTTAGTCATTTTACTTTATACAGTTTTATACTCTTGTACTGTACAGTTGTTATCAGTCCTGCTTTGTTACAGATTAGCCAGTTTCTTGGCAATGTCCTCCTGTTTCTGTTTGTTTCCTGTCTCCATGGCGATGGTCGTTGCTGATTGATAGTGAGATCTGGCCAGGTCCAGTTTACCCAGTGCCTTGTAGGAATCAGCTATGTTTTGATGTGCTGTTATCTGTTCAGTCTTGTCTGCACTTTCTTGCCTCATCTTCAGGGCCTTCTTGTGCCACTCCAGACTTTCCTCATACTCCCCCATGTCATAATGAGCCAGTCCAAGTCTGTTGTAAGCCTGACTCTCCCTATCCTTTCTCCCCAAGTCCCTGGCTAGTGCCAACATCTCTGTGTAGTACTTGTGTGATTCCTGTGGTTCATGTAGCTGTTCCCTGTGTAAATCACCCAGCTGCAAGTAAATGTCCATCTGTTCAGTCTTGTTTCCTGTCTCCATGGCGATGGTCATTGCTGATTGATAGTGAGATCTGGCCAGGTCCAGTTTGTTGTAACCCAGACTCTCCTCTTCCTTCCTCCCCAAGTCCCTGGCTAGTGCCAACATCTCTGTGTAGTACTTGTGTGATTCCTGTGGTTCATGTAGCTGTACCCTGTGTAAATCACCCAGCCCACAGTAAATGTCCATCTGTTGAGTCTTGTTTCCTGTCTCCATGGCAATGGTCATTGCTGATTGATAGTGAGATCTGGCCAGGTCCAGTTTACCCAGTGCCTTGTAGGAATCAGCTACACATTGATGTGCTGTTATCTGTTCAGTCTTGTCTCCAGTTTCTTGTCTCATCTTCAGGTCCTTCTTGTGCCACTCCAAACTTTCCTCATACTCCCCCATGTCATAATGGGCCAGTCCAAGTCTGTTGTAAGCATCCCCTTCCTCTTCCTTCCTCCCCAAGTCCCTGGCTAGTGCCAACATCTCTGTGTAGTACTTGTGTGATTCCTGTGGTTCATGTAGCTGTTCCCTGTGTAAGTCACCCAGCTTACAGTAAATGTCCATCTGTTCAGCCTTGTTTCCTGTCTCCATGGCGATGGTCATTGCTGATTGATAGTGAGATCTGGCCAGGTCCAGTTTACCCAGTGCCTTGTAGGAATCAGCTATGTTTTGATGTGCTGTTATCTGTCCAGTCTTGTCTCCACTTTCTTGGCTCATCTTAAGATCCCTTTTGTCCCATTCAAAAGTTTCCTCATGCTCCCCCATGTCATAACGGGCACGCCCAAGTCTGTTGTAAGCCAGACTCTCCCAATCCTTCCTTCCCAAGTCCCTGGCTAGTGCCAACATCTCTGTGTAGTACTTGTGTGATTCCTGTGGTTCATGTAACTGTTCCCTGTGTAAATCACCCAGCTTACAGTAAATGTCCATCTGTTCGGTCTTGTTTCCTGTCTCCATGGCAACAGCCAAGGCTGATTCGTAGTTAATTTTTGCATCTGACACTTGACCTGACAGTGCTAATGACGAGGCCAGGTTTTTGTAAGCTACACAAATGTCAGTTTCATTTTTGGTTTCTATCTTATAGATAGCCAGAGCTTTCTCATGATTTCTAAAGGCTTCCTGTGGCAAACCTAAGATATCACATGTTAAACCTAGTCTGTTGTAGGCCTTGGCTTGTTTTGTATCTTCTGACAGTTCCTGAGAACACTCTAACATGTTCTGGTAATACTGCAGAGCTGAGTGTGAGTTGTGTAGTTTCGTCCTGTAGAGATCTCCTATCTGACAGTACAGGTCAAACTGTTGTGCCTTGTCTTGCTTTACCACAGGTGTGTTGAGTTCAGCAAGGAGACCTTTGACTTCCAGTGTGTCCTTGGTATCAATCTCACCTAGTTAAAAAACAACAACTTTCACTCAACTGATTTTTAGTGTTGTGATCATGAGTTCTTGTTGCACATGATGATATACATTGTACTTATAATAAGTAGTGTGTTTTCTCTGCTTTCTCTTAATTTATATAATGTCATTTGGCATTACCACCATGGGGTACTATTAGTACTTTCTGACCTTTGCATTAGTGCAACAGTTACTGTTACATGACATTGTCCATGTAGTTACTAAAATGCTTCAATGTATTCTAAAGGTCCTGCTACAAAGAGGTACAAGCATGCACAATTTATAATTGTCTCTATTATTATTGTCACATAGCTTTACTTGCATAGATTACCAAAGTTGTTAGTAAATTATATGAGCATACCCCTACATGTACCTGTATATGAGAATGGTCTGCTGGGTGCTGATCCAGAAGGGCCTGTTCCATACCCAGATGACTGAGAGCTCACTGAGAACGTTTTCTTCCTGGGTTTTCCCATCAGTTGTTCCAGTTCCCTGATGTCCAGTGAGACCAGTTCTGAGATCTCCGGTGGCACATCTGTTTCACCAGGTTCTTCAAAATCTGTAGTCTCTTGATTATCTGATGGAATATGAATAAGTATCTAGGTAGGCATTATGCAAACTTCAGCAATGCATCCTACATGACATAAATTGTATAGCCTCAAATACTGTGAACATGGGCGACCAGATTCTGCTGTATGTGAAAAATACATGCATCCATTAAGAAGCATTATATATGATGCTTCATCATTGTGATTACGTCATTAGACAGGGTTCGAAATACCCACTTTTACACACAAGTCATATTTTCTGTGTGAGACTTGTGGGAAACGCCAGGTTGCCCGTTGCACAAGTCACCTTTTTTTGCCTACAAAGCAGCTTCTGAAATAAACTGTTCGCCTCAGCTTAGGCTCAGACAGGGTGCCATCTGTTTTGTAACAGGCCAGCGAATGTATTTATCATTGTGGTAGAGGCTGTGATTTATAATAATAATCAAAACATTTCCCAATGTTGTCAACAAAGTTCATTTCTTTTAGATTTGAAGCACTTCCATTTCTTTTAGACAAGGAGCAATAAAACAACACGTAACTCAACAACTGCTTTGAGAAAAGCCATCGAGATTAATGACCACTGTCCCTGAAGATAGGGGTGTTCTGTGAAATATTACATTTTTTAAAGGTATATTTGTTGTAAATTTTTTGAAAAATGTAATACCGGTACAACTATTTCAAAAAACACTCCTACAACAAGAGTTCCGAGATCTCATACCTCCATGAAATATGGGCTTGATACGTAAATGTAAATTTCTTCTTTAATTACGCAAATGACCCTGCATTAACATAATAAATGCATCGTGATGTTAACTTTTGATTAACTTAAAGATGTCCCAAGTATGACATTCCATCATTCACCATTGAGAAATCATAGATTTTTTGCATTAGTTATGCAAATTAGGTCATTTGCATAATTAGTATCTGTTGATGTTCCATCTGCCATAGGTTACACACATTACAGGTATGAAAGTTCTATAATGTAAAACACTGTAATTATAGAATTTCCTCATTAATTATGCAAATAAAGTCCTCATTTGCATAATTTGCAGTTAATTATGTACATCTCTCTGTCAGATACCTACACACCAAAAATGATGAAAATACGCTGTTCCTATCTGGACTTATTGGCTTTCAAAGATTTCGCCCGAAAGTCCCCTGCAGTTCCTGAACAAGCTGCTAGGGGGACCAAACCCACACCACTTATTCCTGACAGGAAAAGCTATCTGTCACCAAAAATTCAAGACCATAGCATGTTCAGGACCAAAGATACAAAAACCGGAAGTTCTGCTGCAGTACCAAGGTCATCCACCAGGAGGCCCATATTTGACCTTGACCTTTGTCTTCCTAAGACTTATCAGCATACCAAATATCATCACAATCCATAAAGGCGTTATGAAGTTATGCTGACTACAAAGTTGCGGAAACACACACAGACACACAGACACACACACAGACACACACACACAGACACACACACAGGCACACAGACAGACGCCGCCAAAAACAATACCTCCATTTTTCATGGAGGTAAAAATATGTACATGTACAAATGTATACTGCTATTGTGTACAAATGTGAATCATCTTGTGCATACTACATTGTACATGTAGTAGAAGACATACTGAACACCAATAAGCAAAGGGATTGTGAGTTTTAAGTGTAAAATGTACAGACGTGTTTGATTTCAATACTCTGTCAAAGGTCACTGACCTCCTTCACAAGGGTAATGATGAAGTCAGTGTAGCCTTAGAGAGAAACATTTTCTACAATGTACTTACCAAATCCTGGACTTGAGGTGCCAGTTGTAGGATCCTGTTGCAGAAGCTCCATCTGCTGACTGTCAGCTGTGAGTGCAGCTGTCTGGTCCACAGTGTGTGTTGACTGGCCATGGTTATGTGGAGGGGTTTCTAAAGGCAAGAAATATGATATCAGACAAATATATCTTTGAAATTATGTATGCAGAGTGGAGATAACAGAAAACTCAGATGGTTGACTGATTATCATGTACCTGTTGTCAGTAAGGAGATGTTTTTTTTCATAATTTGCTACCAGTCTGTGGCTCATCATGGTAATGTACATATATATGATACCCAAGGAACTAGCACTCTCCAAGGGTCATGCAGAATTTACTGTTGTATTTTATTGTGCCAGCAGTTGCAGAAATTTGGTGTACCTTAAAAAATTGAAACAACCTCAATTGAACTCGTGTAAGTGGCACGTATGAAATGTGTTTGAATTATTCTATGGAATTATTCTCCTGTGACAATTATTAATTAGTAATATAGGTTTACTCATGGCACATACCAAAGCAGAAAGAAGGTTAAAATCAATGATTTGCTCAAACATTATCTTGACGACAAAAAATCTTATGATTATACTTATGATAAAACCTAAAATATGTCCATGAAGGTTAGACATCCAGGTAATACGATACGGCAAAAAGCAGTTATGAGGAAAGCTAGTGGATACTAGCTGAAACGTCTAACCATTTCCAAAATCATATCCAGTTGCTTGAGTAACTGCTTTTTGGCGTAAACCTAAAATATTTCTAAATTCCTCACCACCATGCGAAATATCTGCTCCTCTCTGAAAGTCTTCCTCATCAACCTCAATGTGCACATGGAGTGGCATCCCTCCACATATCTCCACCAACTCCTGGCTGATGTACTCCTCAGTCAGGATGGCCGACAGGGTTCCATCTCTACAGGCTGACACAAACTCTACCTGACTGTCCCTATGGTAGAACCTCACCTTACAGAGAACACTTCCTTTACACAACTCCAATATTTCAAGCTTCACTTTATGAAACCTTTCCATTGTCTTCCTAAATCTTTCTCCATTTTGCAGTACTGTTATCGAAAAATTCTTGTCAATTATCCTAAGAAGTATTTTCCTTCCTTCCACACTAACATTTTTGTTCATCACTTCAGTCTTTAACTGTCTGTATCTCTCCATCATTTCATCAAATTCTGCATCACTCTGTTTATCTTCTGTGATCATGTTCTCAAGTCTATCAAAAAGAATCTCTTTTTCTTTCTTGGATAAACTGTCGAGAGGAACTGTTTTTCCTTCCATGAAGGAACTCTCTGTTCTTATCGACAGCTCTACTTTCTGATCTGTAAGAGAAAAGTAAAAATCATGGATTTATTAAGTTTTCATCATTATCATTTTTACCACAATTGTCTGGATTATGAAGCATTGCACACTTGTGAATGATAGTACAGCATCATCATCTATGCCTGTAGATAAAGGTACAGCACTGTTATCTATGCATGTGATAATAGTAAATTAGCACTGTTATCTACAAATTAACAAATCAAACAAATCTTACCTAGTTCCCTGTGTTCATTGTTGTCCTCAGGAGAACCTACATCTTTCTTCCTCTTCTCCAGGACTTTTAGAGGCTGTTGTGCATCATTACCTGAAAGCAAACATTGTCATAAAACACCAAGTTTTAAGCCATTTATTTTCATTCTCAAAGAATATATATAATATATGACAGTACTGCATTATATATCTGTATTAACCCACGGGCATGACACAAACACATTGCCCTTTGGTAAACAGTACAGGTACAAGTAATAATTTTGCATGTTTCTAATTTCAGAAATACTGCCCTTGATCTAGTTTACCAAGTTTCAAAGCTTTCCTGACAGTAGTTTTCTCCTCTGTAGGACTTGCATCTCTCTTCCTCTTCTGAACTTGTGCAGGCTGATGGGCATTAGAACCTGGCCATGTAGAGATTAAAAAAATTTTAGTAAATCAATCATCACTAAATCACACACTCACTGGAATGTCAGGCACACTTACCAGGTGTTTGCAATACTGTTATTTTGGAATACGATTTTATGGAACTGTTTCCTTATAGAAGCTAGAATCAACTTGAAATGTAGATAAAACATATCGGGTTGTTGGAAAAAGGAGTCCAGTCCGATTGGCGGAAAAAGCAGTCCAGTCCGATTTTGGGGTGGAAAAAGCAGTCTGGTGGTTTCTACGAAATTCTACGAAAGACCATAGGTACAATTTTTTCTTGTGTGTGTACTGCTAGTTTCTATGGTCTAGCACAAGCCTTGATAAAGTGTTACTAACAATGGAATTAAGCTAATCAAGAGTTTCTGTATTTTTCCTAATAACAAAGCAGTCTTTTATATATTTACCTATTTTTGCATTCATTTGTGGGGATCATTACATGTAAAGATATACACTGTGTTGTATATTTATAGTGGAGTCTTGCAATTAATAAAAAATCAATGAAAGTGAAAGAGAGGTCTGTCAAATTTCCATGTTGGTCTGGTCTATACCATGGTCCTCATTCCATTTTTAAGTTATGACTTTCAAGATAAATTATCTTGGTGATAAACACTACCTTTCAAGGTTTACCATACCTTCCTCTGTCTCCTGACTTTGAACAGCACTTTGGTCCTGGACTGCAACAGGCTGTTCTTCAGCTTTACCTGGATACAGTTCAAGTTCAGAAAACAAATCAAAGATCAAAATATGATAGACAAGTATACAATGTAAAATTGAATTGTACAACATACAAAATGTGTATCTGACTGTGTAGATGTTGTTTTATATGAGAATGATGATAATTTGAAATGAAAGTTAAATCTGTTCTATGAATTTCTTTGCTAAGGCCTAGTGGCCTGGGAATCTTTAAGAAATCCATTTGGCAGCCAATAAACAGCTGCTATAGCCAAGAATACAAATTGATTTACCTGTATTAGTACAGGCTCTGATGAACTCCAGATGGAATTCTTCCCAGTACTTTGTGGACAGAAGTTGCTGCTTGCCTCTTGCTGCTGTTTTGAACTCTGCTCTGTTGTGTTTCAGCATTCTTTCAGTGCTCTGAGCCAAGAGTTTGACAGTGGCACGTTCATCACTTCCATCCATGTCAACAATGGAATGATGCAGTTCATCTACATGTTCATGGATGAAGTCTGCTAGTCCAGACTTGCTGGATACAAGAACAGGAACGCCTGCTGCGATGGCCTCCAGGCCGACCAGTCCAAACGGTTCAGCACGAGAAGGCATCAGGACCAGGTGGGCCTTCATCATCTCTTTACAGATGTCCTTCTGTGTGCCATAGGGGAGGAAGGTTACCTGTAAGTTTACTGACTTACAGTGCTCCAGGATGGCCTTGGTGGCTTTAAAGTCATCTTTATTGAATCCTATGACATGCCACTTGATTTTGATCTTCTCTGCAACAATGCTCAGGGTATCAGCAGCAAGGTCATATCCCTTCAGCTTCTCCACACCCTTCACCCTACCGACGGACAGGACCACCATTGTCTCTGTGACCTTGTATTCAACCTGTGCATCTTCAAAGATCTTGGAAGGTCTTGGAACAAACTTGACATGCCGAGGCCTCTTGGGGGCAGGTATAGCTCTGAACTGGTTCTCAAAGTGATCAAATATCTTGTTTCCAAGAGAGAAGACCACATCAGCCTCTTGTGCATCTTCAAGGATGGAGTCTTCCTTCTTCCCAATGCCCATGGCCTTCTCATCTCCCTTGTAGTACTCGGTGTCTTCCGGTATATCCTCAGTGAAGAGGATGATGTTTGCATGTGGGCATCGTTCTTTTTTAATCTTCACTGATGCCCTACTTGTAACATCAGTATGACCCACAATACTCGTAACCTTTTGTGGAAGGTGCGGGTATTTGAGGTTGTGGTCAAAGGTCAGCCAGTCTAGTGTTGGATCGGTTCTTGGGTCATCTGGGTCAAGTTTAGGCAGTAACAGTTCCACTCCATCTTGTTGTGCGTTAAGTTTGTCCTCTTCTGTTGCTTGTAAAACCGTACAGAACACAGGTATGTCTGGTACATGTTCCTGGAGTGTTTTTGCCAATTGTTGGTCGAGGGAGGAGGCTTCACGTTTAGATGCACTGTACTTATCAATGACCAGCAACACAGCAGGCTGATCTGTGATAGAGAAGTGGGTTTCATTATACATGTAGATCCACCAAGAAAGAATATATGTAGAGCCACCATGAAAGAAAGCCTTGGTCTAAAAACCTCTTCAGAAGGGAAAATATTTTAACTTTTCTTTTGGTTTTGTCAAATATATTCAGAGAAAAAAGGAGTCTTTGAACACTGTTTTGTGTAGATTTATATACTGTGTTTTGTGGCCCACTGAATCCCTTACATTATATTGTGAGCTGGTGGCTCCAGTAAATGTGTGTAAATAGGACTTTGACCTCAAAAAATACTGTTACAATAAACACTTCAGTTTTACCTTTCTATTGCTATGAAATCAATAAAATGATATTTACTGCTAAGCTGCTGTTGTCTGACATTGTTTCTGCCTGGTGTTACCTCACTTCAATCAGTATTTTGGATAAAAATGTCTGAAACTACTAAAATGATAACACCAGCTTTTCCCAGACTGAACTTTCACCTCCATGCTATATTTCTTTCTTTTCTTATCGTTGCCATTATAATTTCTGTTGTGGAAAATTCATCTCTATTGAACCATCATAAAGATGTATTCAGCCTTTTTGCTTTAGAAGCAAAGAATTCCTTACCTTTTTGGTTAGAGTTACTAGTAACATTGTCCAAACTTCTTGCGGCAGCCATTTTGTCATCGTTGAGATGTTTGCCTGTACTGTGGCATTGGAATGCTGGGTAGGGTTGGCTACTTGAGGGAAGTTAATATTTACTAGTCATGTGATCACAAGTTTACTAACCAGATAGCTACACTGTGTGTGTTTGCTAAGCCAATATTATGGTCTCCAGGCCTGTGTGCTCAGTAGTGTCAATGCTTAAGTAAGAATTTCTCTTCACTTATTGTTATACATATGAACATATAACAGGTAAATATTTTCAAAGTTACTAATGTTATATAAAAAACATTCTAGTGTGCTCAAAATTAGCAAATTGTATTTTAACTGTGCCTCCTACCTGATTTTGTCAGTGGTATATAGTTTTTTGCGAAATATGTTCAACTTGATTTTCTTGGTCATAAAAAAATCCAAACATAGTAAATAGTTTATATGATTCTCGTAAACTGTTCACTATATGTTTGGATTTTCTACACTGATGTATACCCCCCGACCCCCC